CCCCCCCCCCCCATTTCCCCCTGCTCCCTCCCCTCTCCACCGCGTTACCATAGCAACCGGTGGTGGAGCCAACATGGCGGCGTGCGGCTCCGGTTAGTTTGGATATTCTGATTATGCATCTCTTGTTTCTGTATATAGACCAGACCTCCAACTGCTACTCCCACCAACTCCAACGGAAACTGTCTGTCTCTCTGTCCGCCCGTCTGTCTGTGCGACAGACAGACAGCAGCCTGTCTCTCTATCTGTCTCTCTCTGCTGTCTCTCTCTCTACCTGTCTGTCTCTCTCTCTCTCTCACCTCTCTGTCTCTCTCTCTCTGTCTCTCTGGTGCCATTCTCAGACAACACCCCGGTCCTTAAGGAGCCACTTCGGTGCACTACGGAGGGCGTAGGGAGAGAAATAGCAAACTATGAAGGGTTTAAGGTGGAATCGCTGCCTTCAGGTGGAACTCGGTGTATATTTGACAATATGCTCGGTGTTGGTTGTGCACACACTGGTAAAAACATGGAGCTTCTCATGTGTGTTATCATTTACCGCCTTTACATTGTGAACTTATTGAGACGTTAAACGTACATTAACGGTGCAGCAGCGTGGGATCATGGGAGCTTCAGTTAGGAGTCCTAATAAAGAATAGAATAAAGCAGTTCCACCTTAAAAATCACTGCTTCTCCCACGCTGTTGGGCAGACAAAGACCTTTTTCTAAATATCCGACTGAAACGTGTGAAACTATAAAAGAAACGGACAGAACAGGAAACCTGAACAGTCCCTGTTGAGATAACTCGGCATGTAAAGACGTAAACACACATGAGAAACCGACAACGAGGACAGTGTGTGTCGCATTTAAATGTCATGTGGGAGTTACCGTAATTAGTTCCTGACATGTAAATGTTCGCGCCAACATCCATTTATAAGCTCGGATATCCAACCCGGCACTAAACGATACAGAAGTGCCTGAAAAAGCAAACGAACATGTCCTGTAGTAACGGATAGAGAACTTTAGTGACGGCGCAAAGTATTTTTAACCCTCGTACAAACAACTCTGCAATCACAAACTTGTCTTAACAGCCAGTGAACAAAAGCGTCTTTCCCATCCCACATAACATGAACACGGCATTTGTCAGCTGAATGACACTAAAAAATGGACGCTACTTTGTTCCTTTTTAATGAATGGAAAATGTTTTTGTCTTCAACATGTCAATGTTGTGATCGGGAATGCAAAAAATGAAGAAAACCAAGAAAAGTAACGTTAACGGGGTCCAACATAAAAATAAAAAAAACACGTCTGCAACCTGTGAACTCGGAGTGCACCGGAAGGATTTAAGATGAACTACAAAGAGTGCAACGTGGTGATAATAGTGCACTTTTAAGGAGGAAAGGAGTGCATTATAAAGAGTTTAAGGTGGAATGTAGTGCACTATGAAGGGTTAGGGTGCAAGAAAGTGCACTGAGGAAGAGTTTAAGGTGAAAGCGGCACACTATTAAGAGTTCAGCTCAAACATAGTGCACTATGAAGGGTTTATGAAGGAAGGTAGTGCACTAAGCAGGGTTTAAGGTGGAAAATAGCACACTATGGAGGGCCTGAGCTGGAGGTAGGGCACTATGCAGGATGTAGCGCAGGAAGCAGTGCACTACGGAGGGTTTAAGGTGGAAAGTAGTGCACTACGGAGGGTTTAAGGTGGAAAGCAGTGCACTACGGAGGGTTTAAGGTGGAAAGCAGTGTACTATGGCAGGTTTAAGGTGGGAAATAGTGCACTACAGAGGGCGTAGGGTGCTGTTTGAGACCTAGCCCTGTTGCCGATCGGCAAACTCAACTAACCAATCAAACAGTGTTATTTGTACAGAACTAACAGCTGCTAACTGACTGCTAACAGCTCTCTGTCGTTGTTTGTAATAAACTTCATTTTTCATCCAAAAGCTACCCGTGTGTTGGGTTTCTTATTGATGAACTTTAAGTCGATTTTGTGCTTAAAACATAATAAATACATAACAAATGCAATGAATACATTTGAAGAAATATTACATCTGAACTTTCACAACAATGACGTTCAGCTTTTAAAATGCAGGTCAAACGTATTCAATCATATAAATAACCTTACATTAATCACAATTAGCCCTCTGGGAGCTGAAATATCGACACACGGCCATTTTTATTATTATTTTGAATATTATTAATGCTAATTAGGCTAATTGCCCAACTTATGCAAGTAAGCATCTGTCAGAGACCCAAACTGAACATTTCTGACATAAAACTTTGGTACTGACAAACTAAAGAGGTTAGTGTGGCTGCTGCTAACCTCTACGTTATATATTGATCTGATTGGTTGAGGTTCGCCTGTGGAATCGATCACAGCCGATCAGTTATGATCAGTTATATAATTTGAGCTTGTGTTTAAAGTCCTTCATAAGTTCGGAGCAATGAGCGCTTTCTCTGTCGTTATATAATAACCTAAGAATGCTGACTTGAGGCTTGAAAGTTGAAACGTGAACTCCGCTCTCTGGTGTCGACGTCACGTTTGATCAATCAATCAATCCCTTCAGAATAAATGACCCCACATTATTTATGTGTTTGGGTTTAATGCCGGCGTGGCTCGTTACAGATCTGTGACCTGCAATCGGATCCTGATAAGAGCAGCTGTAAAGCTGTAAACTAATTTAACCAATAACACAGCCAGAGATACGACGAGGCTAAAGGTTAAACTCTCATATATATTTTATTCAGAAATAACATCCAGATACAAACTGTTGACTGTTGATTATTGACAGTATTTGGCTTTAAATCTTTTTATATAAAGTCTATCTATCTATATAAATTATTATTTTGATATCTTATTCTTAAAGATAAATTTTTCCAAACTTTTAACCATAAAAGACCTAAAGAACTTAAAAAAGACAGATTTGTTTTTTTAATTTGATAAAACAGAAATCCCACTTTTCATAGAGTAAAATTTAAAATAGACGTTATAGAGCAGCAAATAAAATGTTTTCATTTCTGAAATAGAAAGAGAATAGAAAATAGTGAATCTTCAACCTATTGATTAAAGGTGATATAAATTCACTTTATCACCAGACTCCATTGAAAAAAACATTAATTTAACCAAACAAACTGATTGTAGTTTAATGCTGCAGTTTAACAGCAGGGCGGTTCGGGAAGTCACAACCAGCTGCCGTTATCGTCTGTTCACAGATAATCTGTCAGATTTATGATCACATTTGGGTTCAAGGATTCATCCAGCAGCACTCGTTGTTTCAGCACCTTCAAATTAAAAGCACCAATAAATCAATTTAGATTTACAGTGAAACACAGTGGCCGGAAAATAAAAAACTACAGTGATCATTTTAAATTCTATTTGAACTAATTGTGTGAATTTTGTCACAATTGACTGGATAATGAGTATTAGCTCGTTAACTTTAACCCACTTTGTAGTATATATTAAGTAGGTCAGACGTAGCACGGTCTCTTATTGTGAAAAGTAGAATAAGTCCACAGCTAAGCAGTTACATAATCCACAAAGTTTATCTTGCATGTTTGGTTTTCTGACACCTGAAGATCATCACGTAGAAGACGGCGAAGGCTACATAAGCTCAGCTGCTACAGCAGGGCCGCAGCAGTGCACTCTGGGAAATACACGAGAAACATGCAGCCCATATTGGCAAAAAATGGATTGGAAACGCCGGAGCCGGTGAAAGCTCAGGTGACAGGTGAGTCTCAGACAGCCTGCTGATTGTTCATTCATTTAGTTCATTTTGTTGGATTCACTGAATTCAACAGATAAAAAAACAAAGTTATGTTAAAAATGTGAAAACTACATTTATTTATTAATGACTATAAATAGTTTATTAACCATAAATATTGTTATAATCAAGAGGAAAACTACAAACTGTACAACTAAAAGTATAAAGTGTGTCTTTAATAAAGCCGTAAATAAAAATGTAGTTTTTATATTTTTATATTTTTATATCTCCAGTTGTTTGTATTTTTATATTTTCAATGTTCAGATAAACAATTACGTTAATGTAAATATACAAATTGTATTAATTATTTAATATTAAGATAGATCAACGTAAAACATCTTGTTCTTATTTTCAGAACTTATAAACATGAACTAACTTTAGGTCTGTTGACTCGTTTGTAACAGTTCAGTAAATGATCAGATAATCAATAATGAAAATAATCGTTTTCATTGATGGTTTTGATGTTGAAATGTATAAAATATAAAATTATCTTTGATATAAATTTTATTTATTTGACTATCTTTTACGCTTTAAACTTCCACCTATTAGTATCACAAAGACGATGTGGTTTCCAGACAGACATTAAACACCACATCAGCTTTAGGTACAGATACCTGCGTGTGACCTTTGACCTGCAGGGTCCATCCCATCCTGGCTTCAGGGCTCTCTGCTGAGGAACGGACCCGGTCTTTTCTCTGTGGGCAGCTCCGAGTACAACCACTGGTTTGACGGCCTGTCGCTCATCCACAGTTTCACCTTCAGCAACGGTGAGAATCTCCACAGCGACTAGAAAACAAAACCATCACAGCCTGAGCGACGACGTCTACGTAGCATTTAAAGTCTCACAGTAGGAAGATCTGGTTCCTTGTGCTGTTTTAGGTGAGGTGACGTACAGGAGTAAGTTCCTGAAGAGTGAAACCTACAAAAGGAACGTCCAAGCTGACAGGATTGTCGTCTCCGAGTTTGGAACCATGATCTACCCAGATCCCTGCAAGAACATATTTTCCAGGTACAGTCCATCCAGGAGACGTAGAGACTGATTTCAATCTATGTATGATCTTCCAGTCCATCCAGAGAGAGAGATCTGATTCAGTCCATCCAGGAGACCTAGAGATCTAGAGATCATTTCACGTCCGTCCATCACTACCCGTCTTAAAGTGTGAAAGTGTCTGGGTAGAGTGAGACATTAAACTGATTAAAAACCCACAACTCTTCTCTCATTCTCTCACCAGGGCATTCACACACCTCTGCAACGTCATCCCTAACTTCACCGACAACAACTTGATCAACATCATTCGCTACGGTCAGGACTACTACGCCTCCTCTGAGGTCAACTACATGAACCAGATCAACCCTGCTACCCTAGAAACCATCGGCAGGGTAAGTCCGTCTCCCTGCGCCTCCTAAAAGCTCCAAACCTTCATAGATCTGTTCTGCTTCACACGTTCTGCTGATTCCAGATTAACTACAGGAACCACATCGCTCTGAACTTGGCGACGGCTCATCCTCACTACGACCACGAGGGCAACACCTACAACATGGGCACCGCCATCATGGGCTTCGGTCGGCCAAAATACGTCATCTTCAAAGTCCCAGCGGATGCTTCAGGTACAGTGAGGGAACAACTCTTATCTTACAGTATTTGCAGCAATAAAACTGCCCGGGATCAATAAGTCACGTCTTTATCTAATTTAATTACTAATAAGTGACTACACTGTAAAAAAAACAACGTGTAATATTCTGGCAGCTGGAGAACCAAAAAATAGTAAAATAACAGAAAATAACTAATTTTATCTAATTAAAATATAGTTTTTAGTTTTATTTTGACATAAAATCTATAAATCCAGGTGAACTCAAATAATCAGTCTTACATTTACAGCAGCATTAAAATTACACAACTAATACTTTTTACATCATTTTAGAAAAGTATTAACATATTAAACTTGAATTTAACAGTTTCTATCTATTAAATAAACAGTAAACATCTGCAAATATATTTTAATCTTTTAATCTTATTTTTCTTTAAATAAGTCATTTTATGATTATTTACAGTCTTCATGTTATTTTACATTAGACATGTAAATGTCTAAGTCTCCTCATTATGAACAGATAATAAGAATAAAACTGAGTTGTTTCTTCCAGATAACAAACACAAGAAGCCGGCATTGAGCAAAGTTCAACAGATCTGTTCAGTTCCGTTTCGATCCACTTTGTTCCCGAGTTACTTCCACAGCTTCGGCATGACGGAGAACTACATCGTGTTCGTGGAACAACCTTTTAAACTGGACATCATCAAACTGGCCACGGCCTACTTCAGAGGGGTCAACTGGGGAAGCTGCCTCAAATTCGATAAGGACGACATCGTAAGTCCACGACGCGGGGGGTCCTGGTTTCTAGACTGTTTCTGAAGCCTAAAATGTCTCATTTTATAGCAGCTTTTGTAAAACATTGCAATGTTTTTAGGAATATTTTTGTAATGAAATCGCAGGAGAAAGTAAAAATTCCCCAAAAAGTTGTTTTTAGACGGTAATTTTACAGTATTTCCTTGTAAATTTCCCTGCCTTCTTAATCTATTTTACCCACTTTCTAGTTCAGCTTCTATGAAACACTATTGTTATACCTGTAAAATATATTTTTACAGTCTTTTATTGTCATTTATTTTTAAATCTACCTTATTTTTATTCCATTCTCTCTTATTATTGAACTTTTATCTATATAATTATCTTTAAATTGATTTTGTATAAATGTATTCCTTCACCATGAATCACTTGTTTCCTTCCCAGACTTTGTTCCACGTCATCAACCGAAAGACAGGAAAGGCGGTGTCCACCCGTTTCTACGGCGACGCCATGGTGGTGTTTCACCACATCAACGCGTACGAGGCTGACGACCACGTGGTGTTTGACCTCATCAGCTACAAGGACAGCAACCTGTACGAAATGTTCTACCTCCAGAACCTAAAGCAGGACACCAGCAGCTTCATCCAGTCCAACAAGAGCATCAGCCCGCCGCTCTGCCAGAGGTTCGTCCTGCCGCTCAACGTCCACAAGGTACAAAACACTTTCCTTACTTTAACTTACTATCGTTTTATGAGTTGAACGTCCGTATGAAGACGTTGTGGTGACGTGGTTTCCAGGAATCTCCCCGAGGATCTAACCTGGTGACTCTGACGGACACGACGGCGCAGGCGGTGATGCAGGAGGACGGCTCGGTCTACTGCCAGCCAGACACTCTGTTCGAAGGTCAGTTATTTTTCCACTGTCAGTCTGTTGGGTTTAAACAGCGTTCAATCCTCCATAACGAGTCTGACTGCTCCTCAGGTCTGGAGCTGCCGGGGATCAACTACAACTTCAACGCCAAGAACTACAGATATATCTACGGCTCCCGGATGGAGTGGTCTCCTCACCCCAATAAGGTAAATACCTTCAGTCTGTCTGCAACAACCCTGAGGCCAGAAGGTTTACAGTTAAGTCCCCCCAAAATCAACCAGTGCAGGTGGGCTTCACTAGATCCACGAGGTTCAGAGTCCAGTTCAAGAACCAGAATGAATCTGATTGATTTAGATGTTCCTGTTCCTCAGAGGATGGATCCTTGATGGTGTTTCACTGACTTTAAAACTCCAAACTGTTCTGATTTGATCAGTGAACCAATCAGCACTGTGTAGGAGACTTTCTGACACTTTCAGGTAATTCGATGCGGATGAATACGTCCACAGCCGCCGTTACTGTCCTTCAGAAGCTCATGGGTTCAGTTTTAACGCTCAAGTGAAGATTTGGTATCATATTAAACTAAAAAGACCTAACGCATCCAGTGGTCGTGGATCTTTGACTGTGGCTTCCTGTTCCTGACGCCACTGATTTCTCACCGTATTTTAGTCGACTGTCGGCTGAGATTGAAAGGAAGTTGTCACATCTGGATGAATGTTTGAACCAAACAGTCCAATAATCAACCAAACTTTAACGCTCTCACCAACAGATCGCCAAGATCGACATCGTCACCCGGACACACCTGGAGTGGCAGCAGGAGCACTGCTATCCGTCAGAGCCGGTGTTTGTAGCGTCTCCGGGCGCCGTGGAGGAAGACGACGGTGAGCCAACCACTGACCTTTCCCCGGTTAAACCTTCCTGCTGTGGTTCTGACTGTTTGCATTCTCCGTCCTGCAGGGGTGATCTTATCGTCCGTCATCTCTCCGGATCCCAACGTGTCTTCTTTCATGCTCGTCCTCAACGCCAAAACCTTCAAGGAGATTGCCCGAGCCTCCATCCCCGCCAGCGTTCACATGGACCTTCACGGACTTTTCATCCCCGCCGCCGTCTGACGGCCCACATACGCGTTGATTATTTATTCCTTTGTGTATATTCTGCTCCTTTAATGGAGGCTCCCTTTTTATGTTTGAACTTGAAGATTCACAATTTATAATGTCTTTAATACTTTCAGTTATTTTGGTATTTATTAGGCACTACAATGATTGCACTAAAACAAATGTACATTAAATTACATAAGTGTATTAAATGTCCCCCAGAGGATGAACCCTTTAGATTCTCTATAGCGCCATCCTAAGGACAGATCTATGCAGTAAGTCGTCCTCCGCTGTTTAACTTTAAACCTGAAGGTTGTCGAGTAAAAACTGAATGAATTCAAACACCCTGATGTGGTCGTTTATACAAGTTCTACATTAAAGCTTTAATTATTACAGTTTGGTTTCTTTTGACTTGAACAGGTTTTTTTAAAGACTTTTTTTTCACACCGTTTACAGACTGAAACTCTGCTGCTGCTTTAATCCGATTTGGTGGAGTTGATAAAACCTGCTGCTGTTTTCAGTCGAGTGGAAGAATTCAGAGTCACATCCGTCAGTTTTTACAGAATCCACTTTAATGCTTTTAAATCTGTAAATATTCACCATCAGGGATGAGTCTCAATTTCTGTCTGAACTGGTCTCAAAGCAATCAAACGGGTCTAAACTGGTTTCTGTGTCTGGTCGTCCCCGGCCGGAGCAGAGGGATTCTGGGTAATAATCTTTCAGCTCTGAGGACGCGTTTTTGTCGGAGGTTTTTATTCACAATGTTTATTTTTCACAACAGCAGCAGTCGAGGTGTTTGAGGGTCCTCAAACGCACCATCGCTCTCAACTGCATCACCATGACGACAGCATCAACACCGATTAAACACTGACGGATTAAATATTAAATATCTGATATCTAAATATCTATAAAGTAAAACATTTTGGTTCTTTAAAGGTCAGTTCTTCAATGCTTTTACTTTCTTACAGTTTTAGTGTTTTCACGAAGCTCGAAAGTAAAAAAAGAAAGTATTAAAGCTGTTTGTGGTAAAATAAAAAAAGTGTTTTAGATCAACAAAGCAAATTAAATAACGTATTTAATGATGAAAAAAAATAATGTTGCCATTTTTAAACCAGATATTAAAGCGACACAGGAAACCATTTTCTGCAGTTTCACTGTATTTATGATCCGACCTCAACGCTCGATCACATTCAGAAGTGTTTACTGGTTAATATAAGATCGGTGCAGACGGACCGTCTGTTTCCTTTCTGTCACAATGTAAAAGGTCGTAAAGTTTTGACTCGGTTTGGCACCAGTATTTTAATGTTTTAGGCGATAATGTTCACACTATGGAAGTCTGTGGCTGCCAATATTAAAATCAATCAAACTGAAGTTTAATTTTGTTTTGGCAATATTTTAAACTCTGTGCACTAAGCATAAATCTGAAGTGAACTTTTTATTTTTAAAATGAAACCTTAAAAAAAAAGTTTCTAAACTAGAACTTATTTAAACTGTATTTAAATTAAAACTCAAGGAAATGTTATTAATTTCAGACGCTCTCAGGCAATATGTCACTTTATTTAGCTTTCAGCCTTTCTGACCTTTGTTTAGAGCATCACATCATTCACAACACAACAAATTCTCATATTTTTTAGGGTCAGAGACTGAAAGCTGTTTAAAAATGAAGCTTCCAGCAGCTTAACAAAGATTTAGCAGTTGGAGCTGTTGTCAGCCTACATAAAGTCGACTATTATATAAAATTACTGTTAAAAAAAAAAGCTTAATTTTGGACATCATTCAGATGTAAAACTTTAGTTTCAATACTTGTTTTAACCATTAAAAGAAAAATATGTTGCTGATCCATCTATGCTATTATATTGTTATATTTTTAAACGTTAAACACATTAATCGCCAAATTTGAAAAATGCTTTTCAAACATAAAAACCTTTAAGTTTAGCAATATTGGCACCCTCAGACCTCCATACAACACCAATTAAAATGTCCTCCTTCTGCAGACGTGAACTGAAAACTCTCAATCTGCAGGTTTCATCAGAATCATGGGAATTTATTACATCAGCAGTTGCAGCAGAAACAGTTTAAAATGTTCAGAGGGGACTTCCTGTCGCTCAGACCGCCCCGCCGCCCGCCAACAAGGCCGACAAACACGAGTCAGTTCCTCGGTAATGAGTCTCTACGGTCGACGCCGTCGCTGCTTCGATGATTTTATGAGAAGAAAAAATAATAATGAAAAAAAAAAAAA